GGGGAGGGGGGGAGGGGGGGGAGAGACTAAGAAAGATATTGCCATATTTTTTGAATGCTATAATAAAATTATAACGCATTGCTTTGAATATCTCTTTACAATATTTTTGTCTTTAAATTTGAATTAAAAAATTTTAGGTCACAATTCTATAATATAATTTACCAGGAATTGCATTAGATATTTTTATTACCATTTTTTTCCTCTAACTTCTATAAAAAAAAATTAAAAAATAGAAAGTATCTGTTGGACCCACTTAGGCCCACTTGGGTACACTTAAGCCCGGGACCGGCTCACTTAGACCGGGACCATTAGTTCGTGGGGCCGGTCCCGGGCCGGTTCCTACAAAAAGCCCGTGAAGCCCGTTTAAGTTGGGCCCGTGCCCACTTAGGACCCATCCACTAGGCCCGGCCCACATGCCAGCCATAATTTGAAGCTATGTGCACTGTTCCTTAGTTGTCACAATATTACTTCATTTCTTTAATGTCTGTAAACTTGAATTATCATAGTAATTAATTTGTTTTACATGTGTGAGCTCAGAAGCAAATATTTCCCTTACTCTATGTTCGACTTTTGCACTAGACTGAACAGCAATGTTTTGCTTCTTATTTTTGGATAATATTAGATTATGACCAGCAAAGATGCAATTCCCAGATTTAGATCGTTGATCAATTGGAGAACTAGCTCAATTTGCATCAGAGTATTCTATAATTTGGGTGTTCCTTTGTTTTCATCCAACAATATCTAATCTGGTTCTTTCTTTGTGTATTATAGGGCTCGTATTGATTTCTGGTTTCACTCTGGCTCTATGATATTCTTCTCAGGTAAATATCCCCTCTTATTGGCCAGATAAACTTCACACGAAAAGCTTTTCAAAGCTCTTAAAAATGTCTTATAGTAGGAGGACCTAAGGCTCCTTCCTGAACATATAGACACATAATATCAAAAAATATTCATACTTGCCAAGGTATGTATCGCTCGGACGAGTAGTAGCCTGTTTGGCCAAGTTTTTTGGGGGGCAAACGTGCTTTTTTTTGGTCAAAAGTGCTTTTGGCCAAAAATTGAGGTGTTTGGTCAAGCTTTTAGAAGAAAAAAAAGTGCTTTTTGAGGAGAAGCAGAAACAGATTTTGAGAAACAGAAAAATGTAGCTTCTCTCCAAAAACACTTTTCTGAAAAGCACTTTTTAGAAAAATACACTTAGAAGTAGTTTTCAAAAGCTTGGCCAAACACTAATTAATGCTCAAAAGTACTTTTCAAATTAATTAGATAAACACAAACCGATTCTCACCAAAAGTACTTTTTTGAAAAATAATTCTCAAAATAAGCAAATTTTAGAAGTTTGGCCAAACAAGCTATAAGTTTCATTGAACTTGCTGCTTGCCCAGTATATCAGCCCCTGTATGGTTTTTATTTTATTCTTTTTTCAAAGAAAGGAAAAAAAACTTCCAAATGGAAATTATTCATTCTCACATGATTGATCTCTTCACATGGCCAGCAGGAAACCAGCTCCAAAAGAACTCTTTAGTCTCATTAAGTACCTAAGATAAATTGCCATGGATAGAAGGAAAGAACGGGGTAATTATAACTGAGGCACAAGGCTTAAATTAGCAAAAGACAAGTAACTGAACTCCTAATGATTTACACCGTCACCCAATTAGTTAGTCTCAAACAAATATAAATTAGCAGTAGATGCCATTACATTGTCTGAGTTTCCTTTGATTACAGCAACTTCCTAGGCTAGTTTTTGACCTATACATTTCACTATTTTCCGGTGAAGTTGAGTTTCCAGTCAGGTGTGCTACAATCCAATGGACTCCTCTGCATCACGGACTGCTTCCAGAAACACCCACATGATCTGCAGAATTAAAAGAAAATAATGCGCATAGAGGTCACTCGACCAGAAGTTCTGTAGGGAAAGAGGAAATAAGAATTTCATTTGTTAAGTAGGCGAGGAAAGAGTATTTACCATAGCACCAGGAGCATTACGAACAGACTGCTTTCCGAGACGTGAGTAGAAATTAGAGCCTCCACCTGGCTTAAGAACTTTTAAGGCATAGAATAAAAAACTATGTGGGGATTTAACTCTTTTGGATCGTATAAAGCCAATAATTTCAGCTGCATAACGAATTGATATAGCGCAGGCTCCAGAACACATCCCTGAGAATATTCCTGCACCTGAAGCACAACAGAAGATAAACTTAAGCTTTTTTCACTTAAAAAAAGATCAAAGAAAAACATTAGTAAGCACATTTTTGCTGAGACAAATAATATGTAACCACTAACCACATAAGCGTCGGATCAATAATAAGAATGGACAATAATAACAGAAACCAGACGGATACTAAGAAAGTGAAAGGGAGCCTTGGCGCAACTGGTAAAGTTGATGCCATGTGACCAGGAGGTCACGGGTTCGACCATGGAAACAACCTCTTGCAGAAATGCAGGGTAAAACTGCGTACAATTGACCCTTATGGTCCAGCTCTTCCCCGGACCCTGCACATAGCGGGAGACCGGGCTGCCCTTTTTTAGACGGATACTAAAAAGTAATTACCTAAACGTGCAGCATTTTCCCTTAGACCATATCTTTCTTTCAAATAAATCCGAGTCCGATCATATGATACTAGCATTCCTGTGCATGATGCCATTGATGCCGGATTAACACGCGGGGCTCCTTTCCATAATGCTAAAACCCCTTCATTTCTTACCACCTGTGTGATTGTACTGAAAATATGTCCAAAGCGATTACATTTAAGGTTTACTGCTTGAGCAATGCCAGCAGCAACATGTCCTTCTATCAGAGGATAACAAATATAAGCACGAAATGTTCCAGAGATAAGCCCACAACCAGCCTCCTGATAGATGGTCAAAGGGCTCCCTTTATTCAAGACTTTCACTTTTCTTGTCAAGATCCTAGAAGGGGCAAAATCATTCATCTAAATACTTTCTAATCATCATCAAATTAGCTTGTCAACAAAAAAAAAATTATATTATGCAAATGAATTTATAAGCTCAACACCTCAACCAGGTTAAATATCAAAAGTATGTCGTCTCACCCTCCTCCTGGTATGACCAAAATGATAATGAAACAACTTACCTTTCAGGCGATGAGTCAAAAAGTGTGATCTCTGTAAGTTGATCAAAACTGAGTAAATGGCAATTCTGACGGCCTGAGTAAAGATGCTATGTCTTTCACAAACACAAGTATGAATCCTTAAAAGTAAACTCCATATAAACATCTGTAAAAAAAAAAAAAAATCTTCCTGATTTGGTAACCTCCCCCCCAAGAATCTCCTCCTCTGTGATCAGTGGTGTATTTTTCCCACATTTCTCCTCAGTAACTCGAAGTTCTAACCTGTTAGCTGGACATAGAGTACTCTACGACTTGGAAGAGTTTTCTTGCACAAATTAAGTATAAGATCTCAGAACCTAACAAGGGTTGCAGAGCAGAATTTTATGATGTTAGAACAGGTTTTACTTCATGCTACTGTGTCTATGGTGATCAATAGGTAACCTGAGACTCACTTCTTCTACTTTTGATTTGACTTCATTATTAAAGAAAAGAAGTATACTAAGATAACTTCCCGGGATTGAAGGTTCTGAAAGCATAGGGCAGCCCATAGAACTATGAATTCTCGGCTAACTAGATGCAGTTTCACTTTCTTCTCCTTATATTCAATCATCCACCATTAGTGAGAAAGAAATGCTGGTGGTTATTGAACTTTTTCGAGAAACTTTAAGGTGGATGTTGAATTGCCTGTGGGTATTTTCGGTTGCAAATATCAGGAATTTTACCTATTTTTTAATATCAAAAGTTTCCTTGTTCAGTTACCCCATATTATTACCATTTTATCTCAGAGTTGCTTGTGTCAAGAGATTCAATACGTGCCACATCGTTTCACAGTTAATCAAATAGCTCTAAATTGTGGAGAGAAGCATCGTTAATCAATTCAACCATCTGATGATCTTAAGTTACTAACAGAAAATTGGCTCACATCTCGACCAGTTTTAGAAACTAATTGCTTGAATTGACATGTTCACACTGACTTGACTGGTGGAAAATAAACGGAGAAAGGATAATCTTGAATTTTTATCCCATTAAACCAGTTGCAGTTTGAATTCTTGCATATGGGAAGATTTTCGAAAAGTTGCAAGAAATGTCTGCTACTTCTGTTAGAAAAAGAGATGAATACTTGTAGGAAATTCAAGGCGAGTTAATGTATTCCTCGAGGCAAAATTTGCTCCTGAAGAGAGTCAGCGAATCTGTCTTGAGCATATAATAAAACCAAAAAAGCCTGATTCTGTTATGCATAAACAGAGTCACATTCCTGTGCATTCACTTAGAGGACAAAGTTTCTAACTTGCTAAATATATATGTATACTGTTTGATCGAGTTCACTAAATTAAAAAGAATGTTGATTACTAAGTAGTTTAAATATAAAAAATATGGAACACTTGTTCTGAAAACTACAATGTATAGAACACTATATAAAAGTATTAATTGGGGATCGAAGATTGGCCAAACTGTTGCATTTAGCCTATTAAGACAAGTTCTCTATTCTTCCACAAGTAAATTTTTTAAAATCTTCAACAACTTTTTGCTGGATTTTCTTATAAGGACAAACCGTATGCGCCAGTTTTCGTTTTTTCTATTTCAAGTAAATAAGTATACTTACTCATAGGATCCAAGTAGCGCAGCCATGTTTATCCCTCCTCGAGACAACACGAATGGCATTCTCTGTAAGATGAACAAGCCAATCACATCGCCATAATATTCCATTACAGAAAGAAAGCTTTGTGAAATTAATCGAAATTAATATTATTAAAATCAGAAAAAATATGAATGAAATGACTTGTAAACTTGAATAATACCAATTCTCCAGTAAAAAAGATACAACACAGAAACAAAGGTAGAAGTATGGTCTTTTAAAATCCAATATGTGCTAGCACTAAAGCAAGACCATAACCAACAAAGAAGATGCTGTTTCCTAAGCCTTTAGGTGCTATTTTCAAGTCTCACATGCAAACTACATACACAATAAACTAATTGAAGTAAGCATCACATAAGCGGTTTTAATATTTGTCCAAAATTGCAACCAAGGGTGTGGCCTAGCTGTCAAAGTAGGTGAGAATCATGTGAAATCAGGGTTCAAATTTCAGGAGAGGCAAAAATCTCTAATAATTAGGTAGCTCTAACCTATACAAGGGGGTCGTTAGACAGCCGCTAAGCTCCGATCCTATCTCGGCAAAGCAACCAAACCCGGGTAAACACATTATGTGACTTTTTTCTATGTTATCCAGTATTTATGCTGGTGGGTTTATGCTTGTGGGAAGTAGTAGGTAGAAATGGAATAATCGAGGTAGACACAAACTGGTTGGCGACTTTTTTCTATATGGTTGGCAGAGTTATCAAAATACCACATCTGTAAAAATAAACCTCTCTAAAAAATTGACTTCATAATATAGAAAAAGTAAAACAAAAACAAGCAGCACATAGTAAAATTAAATAAAACATAGAACAATGCGAATTCAGCCCAAAAGAGTAATAACCAAAACAGAACTAAGAAAACCTGAGACACATTAAAATACGTTTGATGGAGCCATTTAGGGTTGATTAATTCTTGACCCGACGACTTGACCATGGCGTTTAAGCTGTGGTAAATGCATGATTGCAAAAAATACACACTACTCAAAGGAAGCACCGCAGCAAGCCCTCCATTGACAAATGGCTTCAGTGATGGCCACACACTGTTTCTGAAACTACTCTCAGAAACTTTCACCATTTGCTTTTCTTTTTCGTACATCATATTCAACTCCGAATCTTCCATTTTCTTGAATCCACAAAATATAGGAAGAAAAGGGGTTTTCAGTTTTGTGGCCTGCTAGAGTTTTCTTGAATTTCTCATTTCAATAAGTTTGGGGTACTGTTGCAGTGTGCACTGCCACTTTCTTTCCTTTGGCTTGAAAGTCACCTTTAGGGTGCGAGAAAAGCAGAAACAGAAGTATATGTTTTGGGAAGTTTGTCATTATTCCGCTGACCAAAAGGAAGCAGCTTCTTACTCGCAGGGCAATTGCATGATGTAGCGGGTTAAATGGCGTTAGGTAGGTGGTGAAAGAAGTCAAGAACCATGATATATGGGTGTTTTCCATACTTCTATAAAATAATGAGAATAAGATGCTATGACCAAAATATTCATTTTTGAAATATGACACAATATATCCCTTTTTGTTATAAAATAAAAACTGTAAAGTAAAGATAAGTATAGAGAGAAACTGATATATTATTCAAACTTCAAACTTATGTACATAATGAACTGCAGACTCCTCTATTTATAAAAGAAAGGAAGAAGCTGCGAGGCTTTTCAGGAAGCAGCTGCAAGGCTTTTCTTTAGCTGCTTGTAAGCTGTCTGCATGAGCTGCTTGCAACCT